GTATATTCAAATGAATAATTTTCACATGTCAAATAATGTTACGTTTAATCGCCTTTTAAAATCTATTTTAAATCACCTCTAATTTTTCTAAAAAAATTTGTTGTCGCCTGCGAATATTTATTACAAAACAGTAATTTACAGCTGCTATTTTCTGCTGCTTCGATTACTTACCGCGCAGGAATGAGTCGCACGAACTATCCGCTTTGATAATTAATCACAGTGTACGAACCATTAAGTGAGAGCCAATTAATCGGTGCTGGTCGATGATCGAGTTAATTAATTACAGATCGGCCGTAGTGATTGCATCTTTCTTGACACTCGTGATCACGGTTTGAAGAACGTTACAACACACGGAGAGGATCGCGCCACCATGCACCTATCACCTCGAGTCTCACTACACGAATGATAAAACGATAAACGCGCGACGCAGGTAGACTGTAGTGACGTCAAGACCGAGGTGAACGCCCCGTAAACAATGAACGTCGAGCGCCGTGTGCGTCTACAATATACCGGCCAAATATTTCACACGTCATGGATCGCGGTTTTGGAATTTCGGGCGTCGAACGTCGAGCCCCGGTTCCGAGAAATGACGTAGCGCCGTAAACACTTCGGTCGAAAAAACCGTCTATTCTCATTGTGTCTATCATTCGCGCGGCGACAGTCGAACGGATCGGTTAGCGGCCCGCGCCGCTCCGTATATCGTATTCCTTTTCTCTTGATACGCGCTCGCGACAAGTACGTGAAAAACCGCGATCGCTCTCTGTGAATAATAAGCGAGCGATATCATCGCGTGATCGCTGAATCCTCGCGATTCGCTATCGATGCTCGGTTAACCGGCAAGACATATCTCGCGCGATTCACACGTGAAACCGTACGTCCAAAAATTAAAAAACTAGCCAACTTGAAATTACTGAACACCGGCTAAAGCGTTTGAATTTAACGAACGTATACACTGCGCGCGACGCTCGCCGCTCGGCATTGTTCTTGTCGCCGAAGACCTTGACCTCGGGAAGTGTGGAATTTGTTACGCGTAAAATCAACGCGCAACGTTCGCAACGATCGTCGCTGTTTTTGTCGACCTTGGCCTTGGCGTAACGTACGGCCGACCGTAAACACGCGCGGTATCATTCGCACGGGCGAGCTCGAGCCGGAAGGTAGTGGCGCGAGGAGTCCCGAGTCCCAGCGCGTCGTATCGTTGATTTCCTACGAAACACGATCGCGTTGAGTATCGAGGGGAAACGCGATCTCTTCGAACGAACACCAACTAGATTAACAAGCGCGGCTCCCGTTCAGAAGTACTTTGGGTGGACAATGAAAGGGGAAAGAGACGCGCCGGTCAATCAATCGTTCGCGCCTACGGGAAAGCAATAAGTCGAACGGCGCAGCTCGTTGCTATGTTCAGTACGCGGCAGCTACGACTCATGTCGGCGACTCGCTGGCCGACGCACCGCGTTCCTTCCGTATTCCATTCCTCACGACGGATATTTGGCGCGACGTCCCTCGCTCGAGACGAAGCGGTAAGAGACGGCGATTCTCAATTGGTGTGGCGTCGCGCTTCGAACGGTTTCGTCGCTTTGCTCGACTCGGATACGATTCTCGGACTCTGAGAACGCGCGGGCCCCCGGGCGCGCGGAGCGTCGATCCCGTAGGATATCGACAACGAATTGGTCTACAGCGCGGTTCACGATTCGCGCGTACTAAGATTCGCGACGCCGAATTTCGATCGTGTACTCCGAAAACGCGTCCCATCGCGGCGTCTCGCCAGTCCATTAACCTCACTTGGCGCCTCGTTTCGCGCGATCCGATCGCGAGTGAAGTTGCCGCGCCGCGGCTGCCTTCACGCACGTCCGCCATTATCGGAAAGTTACTGGGCGCGACGCGGGCTCGCGTCGAGTGACGCCGCGACGACAATTACAGTCGCGATTAGCCTCGTACTTGAAGTTTTGTCGGTCGCGCGACACGAGTTCCTCGCCTTGGCGAATCCGTTCAGGTCCACCGGCTCGAGTCTCGCTCGTCGTCCGCTGCGAAACGTTTTCCGTCGCGTCGCGTCGGTGCGACGAACGAGGGTGCAAGTCGTAGCGAACCTCCGTTCGTTCCTCTCTCGCGTTGCTCGCGCCCGTCGCGATGTGACAAGTGCGTCGCGTGTCACAATACCGGGAGTGCCGTATCGAGTGACGCGCGATCGTCTTATTCCGATAACCGACGCGAGTGTTAATTAACCGGGCCTTCGCGAGTGTGTGGTGACTCGACCTGGGGACCTGAGAGGAGGAGGAGGCCCGGAGGGCATCAGGCGCCGGCGGAGCAACTGTAAGGTGAGTGTCCCGCTTCTAGATTAGGGCCTGAGCAGAATGGCTGTCATAAGGCTCGTCTACACGACAGGGCGTAAGGCGCAAGAGCGCATTCGCAGGCGCAAGAGAGTCGCTGCCGGTCGTGGCGCAGCGGCGCCAGCGAAATAAAATAATTCGATGTCCAACGCCCGCGCTCTTGCGCCGTGCCTTGCGCGCGGACAATTATTATTAGTATTTTTATTGATAAGATACTTTCGACGCGAAGTAATTTGAATTTCGTATGCGTGTGTTGCAGATCAACGTAGACGCAACTCCGCTGCTGCGCTTCGTAACGGTGAGTCGCAGATAATCTTTCATTTAACTCGACGTAATGAATCTATGAATATTACGAAGAGATATGCGATAGCTCACGGATCCCATTGCCTCGTAATGCATGGTGTGGGATTAGCGTAAACCGTTTGAGCCGAGAACACGCATAATCGTTCGTCGAGGCAATCGCGTACACGAGAGTGTACGTAAGAGACTCTCCTCGATCGTTAACAATTTATTTACGGATTGCCGTGAGTTTTTATTAGCACGTTTTATAAGAAACAACGTTTAAAAATATAAAAGTTAAACGCGAGGAATTATTTTATTATCTTGACTATCAATAGCTTCAAGTTTGCCATCGAGGTTGATGACAACAGAAGAGATAGATAAGAAAAATTGTGTGCTATATTTGCATCTGATTTATTATTTAAAATGTAGGAAGAATAGAAAGGAAAAAGTTTCCCCACTCACAGTTCGCGAGTAAATTAAAATTTGCTGTTAATCGAGAAATGAATTTCTCACTACTCTTTATTGGTGTCGTTTAAATATTTTAATATACGTAACATCTGCTTGTAAAAAATCAAAAGACAAATTAATCAATGAAAATGAATTTTATTCAAATCGCGTTGGTAACAAATGACGAATCTTAGGACGGGCCTGAGAGTTGTACGCGATATATCGTAAATCATTTAGAAAATTATTGTTTGAAATTAAAAAACATTTTCTGACGAGGGACTTTCGGCTTTGAATATCCCATTAGAGGCCAGTTTCACGAACGTCGGTTAACTGTTAACCAGACAGTTCAGTCGACTCTTACTTTTTTTCTGTCTTATTGTCTAATTGTAAGAAGAGACAGAGAAGCAATTAATCTTCGGCTAACAGTTGGCCGACGTTTGTGAAACTGGCCCTAAAAGTACATATCGCACTGGTTGTGCGGTTACTTTGCGAGTATCGCGAGTTTTCATTACAATCGGACTTTAGACACGCGAATTGTATTACGATAAAGGCGAGCGTATGGAGGAAGAGGTGGAATTTCTTCTTTTTGCCCTTCTAAGATTTTTCTTACCTCGTGCACGACTGTGTCCTCGGGAATCGGCGCTCCATCTGAAACAAAGAACAGGTCTTTGTGAGAAAGGTTGCATCGTGCCGGCTTATATACGCGACATAAGCGCAACGTGGGTTAAATTGCGGGTAGCCGATATTTACGACCCAGTTATACACCGTGGGCAAAGAGCGAGATATTTTCTCGGGGGAAAAGTACGCGGCCGGGAATGCGTAGGAGCGACTTCTGCGGCCGATGTCGGGGCGGCTCGATAAAAAGCGCGCGATTTATTTATTAATTGCAATACATTAATGATCGCCCTCGGTAATCGCGCGCGTAGATCATCGAATTGGCCGCGTACGGCGGTGGTTGCATATTAAATCCCGGTTTCCAAGGAGCTTCGTGGAACACCTTGGGAGGGAAAGAGAGAGAGAGAGAGCGTAGATTTATTATATTGGCAGCCACAGAAACATACCGTGCAGATTATACCATATTAATCGATTATTCTCGCTTTCATTTCTTGTGTATTGAGAAGCGCCGGAATTTGATGCAATCGATGTTTACTCTTCTCTTTTTACACAAGCCGCTCCGTAATGATGTCTGAATTACAGTACGGCCTTTTAAATTATTCTTACTGCACACTGAATAGCCTCCGATAAACGGTAAGATGATACATTTAAGCGGCGCGACGCGAAAGGGGCACGTTTCTACGGAATGCAAATGGGAATTGACGGCTATTTTGTTCGCGAGAACCAGCTCTCCTCTTGGTCGCCCTTGAGACAAATTCGACCGTGTTCGCCGATTTTTACAAGCGCAGACGTTTAAATGTTAAAATTATGCCCGCGCGCTCGTCGCAAAGTGTCGGTCGCGTGCAGTGGGACTTGAAAAACGTTACGTAAAAAGATAAGAAAAGGAGATGACGGCGCGTGGTTCCGGGGCATCCGGTTCACTATTAATTAGCCCGCGGACATCGGACTTCCTTAATTAGTTCGTGCCTTACCGACGGGCGATCTCGCCGGGTTTCTTTCATCCTCGGCACAAGAGAAAGTCAATTACGTCGATGACAAGTCCGGACGCTTACCGGAGGGTTTAGTGCGTCTCCGGAGATCCTTGCGCGGAGAGCGTGTATAAAGCTGAGACCCTCATTCCCTCGGCTCCGCTTGTCAACCCGGTGTCCGAGACGCATGGCACCGGGTCGACAACGCTTCCGACATTCCCGCTCTTCTTTTTTTCTCTCTCTCTCTTTCATCGTCCGCCGCAAATCTCCGGAGCGCGCTGACCGCAGACAGTTAACGTTATAAGCGAATTATACCAGAAGTAATCGTTTTTAATGAGACACACGATATTTACGTAATGCGACTAAGCAACGGCTGCAACGGGAAAATCGCTCGCAACGCATTTCTGATTAGTTCTGCGAATGTACGCGTGTATTCGCAGGCCGACCGCCCGAGCTTTTCGTACTTTGTTTCTTCCTTTCTCACTAATGCGCTATCTCGATTTATCGAGCCGCTCGCTCGCCGCGCGATCCGATTTTCGGATCGCATCGAAAGGAATTGGCTCAATGGACTTGTTAAATCGCGGTCTGTCGGCGGTATTTCACCACGCCAATTACGGCTCGCCGCAATGTAATGAGGCACCAACTGGCAATTTGTTGGTGTGATTCCGCGGGATTCTCGTAATTTATCGTGCCGCGTATCGCGATTAGGAATCACGGGCCTTGACCACCTTCCGCTTACTTTGTAAAAGAGAGATACGGCACTTTTGATATATAAAAAGAGAAATTTTTAATAGAATATTGTTAAAAACTATGTATAGTCGTTTCCAAACAAACTGTAGCTTATTTAATAGATCGAGTTGTCAATAAAACGCTAGCGCTATGACGTTTATACTAAATAATATAAGACAGTAAAAATGTCGCATTTGATTTATATTTAAATAAATTTAATAGGCTTTTATTTAGCGCGGGAAACATATTACTCGAGATAACGTTCGTGCGTATTTTCATATCGTTATTCGTTGAATGTGAAGCAAATTATTTAACGTACGAATGTAAAATCTGTAGAATTAGCGAGAAGAATAGAAAGTGACTGACATAATATTCGTGGGACGAAAGTGAAAAGTAATACGTTCCGAGCAGCGGTGGAGTATAAAAGTTAATTCGGTACGCGTCGGTTCTTTTTCAAGTTAAACGGCGCGCGAAAATGTCAAT